AAGATATATAAGATATATAAGAAATTATAGATCGCTAAGATCGCTAAGAAATTAGAAAAATCATAGAAAGTTGAGATTCATGATTGACGGGATCATCATTCGCTAAGTGTAATTGGCATAGTACTAATGCGTCATAATTAGACTATCACTAACAACAGATATGTCGCTATTATAATAGAGTTAAGCCATGTAAGACTTTGATTTGCGTATAATTTAGAGAATTCGTAATGATTTGTTAACGAAATTTATAATAAAATAAATTATTTATGAAATTCGTAAAATGAAAATGTAACAAAATGAATCATTTATAAAATTTGTAAAACAAAATAAATTGTTAAATAGAATTCGTTTAACGAAAACTGAAATGAATCGTTTAAATAAATCATATTACAGATTTGTTAATAAATCTTTTAACAGAATTCATTTAACAAAATCTATAATAAATTATTAAACAGAATTTATTTAATGAAAACTGTAACAAATCATTAAATGAATCATATTACAGATTCGTTAATGAATTATTATAATAAATTTCATAATAAATTGTTATAGTTAACCGTTAATAAATTTCATTATGGATTGGTAACAAATCTTATTAATAAGACTTGTTAGCGAATTGTTACCAATTTATAAATTCTAATTGAATAATAATCATCAATCAGATATTAAACCAATTGATAACTAATTATTAATTGAATCTGATTTGTTACTATTTAACATATAGTTATAAATTTTTTAAAATAAGTATAAAATCAGGTTGAAAACTGATTTATGTAATTCTATCTAATAATTATGATTATGGTATTAACCGATTCATACCTAATTGTAGTATCTACATATTTATATCTGATTAAAAAATAATGATTAATCAGGAAAATACCTGATTAATCGGTATTCGACTTGTATTATTGAGATTAGTTTATTTTGCTAAAATAAACAGCTATTATAAAACTTATTTTTTAAGTTTTTAATAAGATTTAATTTTTTATTGTTTACATTAAAAACTTTTTCCTATTATTTCAAATATAAAATCACTTTATCATAAGCTTTATTAGCTTTATTATGAGTAATTATAAGTAAAGGATTCTCTTCTCTTTCATTATCTTATTCATTAGGTTCTGGTAAAACTGTTTTTACAATTTTTTCATCAGATATCATTTCTCTTGTAGTCTTAGGCTTATCATATTAAACAAATTCTTTAGCAATTAATGAATAGTCAAAAAAAATTTATTAAATAAACTTAAACTTCTTCTAACTTTTTTAGATATTTAAGTTTAAGTTAAGTATTGGTGAAATTTACATATTTTATGTAATTTTCAATATTAATTTTCACAGATTCAATATGATAATTATTGAAATTAATAAAAGATTTGATTTGAATCTCTAGATAGAGCTTTTAATATTGTGTCTAAAATAAGTTAAATTTGAATTAAAGTATAAATAAATATAAAATATAAGAATGTTTAAATCAAATATGTTTTTCATCTTAAACTATTAATGATACTTTGACCTCAAGGTTATAAATACACTGTAGTATTTAGAAGAAGATATTTAATGGTAATATTTGTTAATTAGGTTTTTTTGTAAACTACTATACTAACTTTCTTTTAAGTTCATCATTTAGAATAAATAAATTCTCTAAGATTTTCTAAGTCCTTAAACCTTTAAGTTCATAAAGTTAAGCAAAGTAATTCTAAGGAATTTCAGATATTTATAGTATATAAAATTTCCTAAAGTTATAAAGTTTGATAATAAGAAACTTACTTGTCACTAGGGTTCCGCAATTCGATTTGATATTTGAATATTTGATTTGTCAAATACAAATTCAAATTTATATTTGATTTGATTTGATCAAATTCAAATCAAAGAATGATTTATTTGATCAAATCCAAATCAATGTTTGATTCGATTTGATCAAATTCAAATCAACTATTCAAATATTTGATTTGATTCGAATCAATAGTAAAGCCATTTCCAAGTGATTTTTACTAAGAAAACCCATAGTAAAAAGCGCCTCCGCGACTTCGGAAATGCTTTTTTTACTATGAAAATCATAGTAAAAAGCGCCTCCACGGCTTCGGAAATGCCTTTTTTACTATGAAAAACATAGTAAAAAACGCCTTCACGGCTTTCGGAGACGTTATTTCACTAAGAAAACATAATAAAAAACGCCTCCGCGGCTTCGGAGACGTTATTTTACTAAGAAAACATAGTAAAAAACGCCTCCGCGGCTTCGGAGATGCTATTTTACTAAGAAACCTAGTAAAAAAACACCTCCGTGGCTTCGGAAATAAGAAACCTAGTAAAAAAACGCCTCCGCGGCTTCGGAAATGTTTTTTACTAAGAAACCTAGTAAAAAAACGCTTCCGCAGCTTCGGAAATGTTTTTTTTACTATTAAACCTAGTAAAAAAAATGCTTCCGCAGCTTCGGAAACGTTTTTTTTACTATTAAATCTAGTAAAAAAAACGCTTCCGCAGCTTCGGAAACGTTTTTTTTACTATTAAATCTAGTAAAAAAAACGCTTCCGCAGCTTCGAAAACGTTTTTTTTACTATTAAACCTAGTAAAAAAACGCTTCCGCAGCTTCAAAAACGTTTTTTTAATAATAAAATGGTTACGAAGCTGAGATGGCGGTTATTACTAAGTTTTCTTAGTAAAACCGAAGCTGTAATAGCGGTTATTATAAGTTTCTTAGTAAACTGAAGCCACGATGGCGGTTAGTACTAAATTTTCTTAGTAAAACCGAGACCGCAGAGAAAGTTAATAGTAATGATATTTAACATCAATAGACAATATTTATATTTGAATGTAAAAATTATTTTGATTAATAATATTTTTGTCTTTGAATTGATGAAATTATATTCAAATGTAAAATTTATCATTAATTGACAAAATTCACTTTGAACAATGAAATTCATTGTGAATTTCATGAAATTTCATTTTTGAATGATAAAAATTATCTTTAAAATGATGAATTTGTCTTGAATTAGTAAAATTTCACTTTCAAAATAAAATTTATTTTTTAATTGATGAAATTTCACTTTTAAATGCAAAATTCACTTTTATAAATGAAAATCAGCTTTAAATTGACCTTTGAATGACAAAAATCACCTTTTAATACAAAATGCAAATTCATGATGAATTATTAATAAATTAATAAATTTCGTAATGATTTATTAAACATTTAAAATGCTTCATTAATGAAATTCATAATATAATGAATCATTATAAATTTTGTGAAATAAAATTGTAAAATGAATCATTAAATAAATTTATAACGAAATATGAAATTTGTAATATAATAAATCAATTATAAAATTCACAAAATAAAATTGTAATAAAATGATTTTACATAATTTATATTAAATGAATTTGTAATGAATCATTTTACAATTTATTATAATGAATTTCATAATGAATCATTCAAGCGAATTATTATATAGATTTATTAATGAATTATTAAATGGAATTCATTTAACAACATTTATAACAAATTGTTAAACAGAATACATTAAATAAAAATTAAAATAAATTATTTAACAAAATTAGAAATAAATAAATCATTTAATAGAATTGTTTAATGAAAACTGAAATGAATTATTTAAATGAATTATTTAATAAAATTTATTTAACAAAATCTGTAATAAATCATTAAACAGAATTCATTTAACAAAAACTGAAATAAATCATTTAAATAAATTATTATGTTGTGCCTCAGATGTCGATCGCCTCAGTTGACAACTGAGGCACCTCAAATATCGATCATCATTTGATGCGCCTCAGGTGATGATTGACATCTGAGGTACATCAGTTGTCAACTGAGGCACCTTGATTGTCAACCGAGGCAAATTTATTTTTAAAATAAAAATAAAAAATAAAAGTCATTTTTTCAGAATCAATTCAATTATACCAGCAATGAAGAAATTTCAATTATTTATTTAATAAAATGTCAACTACACTACATTACATTATTATATTATTTATTTAAGGCTATTAAACTAATACTATTTAAAATAATAATTCAGTTAATTATTATTTTTATTATAACATTGACGACCACCATGACATCGACTTCCACAATTATTTCCATTTTTTTTACAATTGCATTTCTTACTATTGCAAGTTCCCTTACAATTGCAAATTGTACCTGTTGTTGATCCTACATTTTGTAAACGTGCTGCTTCTCTTACAGTAATTTTATTTGTAGGAATAATTTCAAGTTCTGGAAATTGTTCAGTACCAAGTGGTTCTAGTTCTCCAGGTGAATAAAAACTTTCAATTACTCCAAATCTAGTTCCTAATTTATATTGATTATTGTTTTTTTCTACAATTTTACAAGGAAGCGTCGGTCGATCAATACCAAAACGGTCAATTTTTGGTACAGCAATCCTAACGAAATCTCCAATTTCATAATTTGATGGTCTTTTTCTTCCTTTACTCATTTGATTAGCCATTTTTTCAGTGTAATTTTCAAGATCCCGTCTAGCCGCGATTCTCAAAATTTCATGTCCTGTAGTTGTAGCTTCATGTTGTAATGGTATAGAAGAGACCTCATTTGTAATATCAGCAAGAATGGTTTGATCATTTTCATATTCATCAATCACTGTTTCCTAGAATATTATTTAAATTTTAATTTAAATTATTGAATATTATTATTATGTTTAAAGAAAGATCTCCTTTACCTCTTCAGAATTATTAAAAGAATCAATTTGAATATCGTTTTCTATATCATTAATTTTCTAAAATTAAAAATTAAATTTTTAAAATTAGTAAATAAAAATTAAAAATTAATCAATCATTAAAATTTACCTTTGAATTATTATCATTGGAATAATTGGTTTCCGTTGATTTATTGAATGGAAACGTTTTCTAAAATTAAAAAAAATAAAAATTAAATAAAAAATTAGCATTTAATTTGGATTCGCGAATTGAATTTTAAGTTCGTATCGAGTTTCGTTGTCAGCTTCGATTCTCGAATCGAATTTAAATTTCGATATAGAGCTTCGTCGTCAGCTTCGATTCTCGAACTGAATTTAAAAATCGATTTTGATTATCGTCATCGACTTCGATTCTGAATCGAATTTAAAGTTCGATTTCGAGTTTCGTCGTCAACTTCGATTCTCGAATCGAAATTTAAAATTCAATTTCGATTATCGTCGTCGACTTCGATTCTCGAATCGAATTTAAAGTTCGATATCGAGTTTCATCGTCAACTTCGATTCTCGAATCGAAATTTAAAATTCAATTTCGATTATCGTCGTCGACTTCGATTCTCGAATCGAATTTAAAGTTCGATATCGAGTTTCATCGTCAACTTCGATTCTCGAATCGAAATTTAAAATTCAATTTCGATTATCGTCGTCGACTTCGATTCTCGAATCGAATTTAAAGTTCGATATCGAGTTTCATCGTCAACTTCGATTCTCGAATCGAAATTTAAAATTCAATTTCGATTATCGTCGTCGACTTCGATTCTCGAATCGAA